CAGTAGAGATTTCCACTGAACCAAAGCCTTAGACAAATTGCTCTTGGGCATTTGATATAACCCTAACACAGCAGCTTATTTTGCAGTTTTTATTTCTACAAGTCAGCTTTTGGCTTGCAAAATAAGAAGGTAGTGACCAGAACACAAAAAATAAGATGGGGATATGGTAGGGGGTAGAGAAGAGACTGTGGTTTCAGAAGGTACCCAAACATACAGAAAAGGACACTCCCTACTTGCATTTATAATTGATCATTTTTTTCTGTTGAAGAGACTTGCTCACTTATTTCAGCCATCACAACAACAGGTGTTTCTATTAACCATAAAAAGATGCCATCTTTTTATTTAAAGCTTATACTAGTGTTTGATGTTGTGGATTCCTTGGCAATAAACTCTGAGACTAACTTCTAGGATCCAAAGAGGAAATCCTCCTTATATGTCATGGCATTTGAGCAACTGCCATCTAGTTCATCATCAAGACTGCTAGGCTATGAATGTTGGCATCTTGCTTTGTCTAATCTCATTTCTTGACAGAAATTTGATTTAACATCTAGCATTTTCAAGTGTTAAAGTATATTTCTGTTGTGATATCTTTTCTGTCTGAATGATAACCAGAAAAGGTATTGGCTAATTGTATTCATTCCTGATATTTAAGTTGATTTCTTGCCATTCTTCCCATAAAACTCTGTCCGTCCTGCTGTGGAAGTATTTCCTTTAATAGTTAATGGTGTGTAAGTGAATGGGACATTGAGATGAAGAACCACACTGTTTCTCTGTTCATCTTTGGGTGTATGAATTTGATTCCATGAATTTTGTCCTATGAGAACTACCTGCTAACTAGTCCTCTGCCTTATGATCTTGACCTTCTTCAAATTATCTTTCCTAATTCTGCTAAAGTGAACTCCCTCTAATGCACATCTGACCATGGCACTGGTGCTTAAACACTCCGATTCCCAGATGTCTAGTGAGATTCATAATGCCTTTATAAACAGGTGCCTATCTACCCTCCCAGGCTCATTTCTCATCATTGCTTTCCCTGCATTATAGACCCAGGCAATCTTATAATTTTATTTTTCATTTCATGCTTTTACCCATGCTATGAGTCTTTGCTTGGCCAGCTTCACATCTTTTGAGAGCTCAGGCATTCTTGCCTCCAGAAATCTTTTGCTGACTCTTTCCTTCCACGTGGTTGGGATAAGCACTTTCTCCCTGTACTTATTTCTTCAATACTCTGCAAATCTTTATGTTCACACTTATGGTGTTTTGTCTTAATCCATATGTACTCATTCCTACTAACCTGTAGATCACTAGAATGCTATATACCCAGCAAAGTCTCTGACACAGAGGAGATGCTCATTACATAAACATTTTCCAAATGAATTAATAGTGAAAGAAATAGATGAACCAAACTACCTTCTACACAGCCAGATAGAAATATGTTTTCCATGAAAACCACTGTGCTTCATGCTTTATATAGCCTAGCTTGCATCACAGATGCTCAAAAAATTACTATGCACTACATGAAATCCTTCTATAGTTTCTCATCTACTTTTATAGAATTCTTATCCAAACCTTCAACTTAATATAACATTTATTTATGGCCTAAAGGACAACAAAAATAGTCAATCAAGTTCACATAATTTGACAGTTGCCTAAAAGCTAAATTTGGTTTCTTGATTCCTAATCGAGAGTATTTCAGGCCAGGCACAGTTGCTCATACCTATAATCTCAGCCACCTATAATCTCATGATTCAAGGCCTGCCAAGGCAAAAAGTTAGCAAGACCCTATCTTAAAGAACAAGCTGGGCATGGTAGCACACATCTATAATCCTTGCTACATAGAAGGCAGAGGTAGGAAGATCACTGTCTAAGTCTGGTCCAAGCAAAAACATGAGATTCTACTTGAAAAATAAACTAAGGCATAAAGGACTGGGAATGTGGCTCAAATAGTAGAGCACTAACATAACGGACACAAGGCCCTGAGTTCAAATCCCAGGACCACCAGAAAAGGGGGGTATATTTTTATCATTTTTTCAATAGGATTGTAAATTGAGGAACTGGAGAAAGAGAGTAAGAGAGAGAATTAAAGAGAAAGACAGAAATGCAAAATTTGCTAATTAGTAAAACTTTGTTTGGAAACAAATCAGGGCAAGCAAATAAATTTCCCATGGGCTGTGTCATCTTTTAGACACTAAAGAAAATATAATTTAGTAAGAGAGTAGGATTTTGTTGTCAAGAGGATATTAAAAATTCCAGAATGAAAAATATGAAATGAAGTGGCAATAAGTACAAAACTCCAAGTGAAGACACAAAGCAATGGTGGTCAGTGTGCACAGGCTGCTGGATGGACAGGAGCTGGCCAGATGGGTAGAAGATGTGATGAACAAATGCAGAGGCTGGAGATGCCAGGCTTGCCCAGTTGGAACTGTGCATAGGGGGATGGCGTGGAAAATTCTGAAGAGATAGATTAGGCAAAATTTTGAAAGATCTCTATTTGAATAGATTTGAATATTGTTTGAAATATTAATTGAAAAAGATACTTTATTATTTGAAGTTCTTCAGAGAAAAACCCGATAGGATATATAAATGTAAATAAAAGGATTGACTAGCACAATCATGGAGGTTGAGAGGTCCCAACATCTGCTGCCTGCACACTGGAGACCCAGAAGAGCTGTTGGTTCAGCTCCAGTTCAAGTCTATCTGAGAACCTAGAGCCCAGTGGTGTAAATCTCAATCTTAGAGAAGGGGAAGATTTATGCTTCCACACAAATAGGCAGAGTAAGATTCTCCTTTCCCCTGCTGCTTTGTTCCACGCTGGCTCTCAGTGGACTGGGTGATGCCCACTCACACTGAGAAGAAACTCAGCCTAGCAATTCCACTGTGATTCACTTCTGCAAACACCCTCACAGATCCACCCAGAAATAATGTTCAACCAGATAGCTGAGCATCCTGGCATCAAATTAATCATCCCACCTCCAATGAGAAGTCAAGATTTAGATTAATTTGCACGTGTCAGAAATCCATTATATACTTAATATGCTGGAGATCACATGAATATGAAAATTATATTTTCCAACAATCAATCTGATAGGACTTCTATAATGAAATATAGTAGACATCAGTAAAGAGCAGATATTCGAATCACTATGTGGAATAATAAAATACAAATTCTAAAGTTATGAAAGTGAAAAAGGAAAATAAGAGGTAGTTGCAAAAGTAGCAATTGTTAAAGTCTGAATGTGTTAATAGTTTTGTTAGGGGCCAGGCAGAGTGACTTATGCTGCAATCCCAGTTACTCAGAAGGCAGAGATTGGGAGGATCAAGGCTTAAGACCAACTCAGACAAAAAGTTAGCAATAATTCATCACAATCAGTAAGCTAGGAATGGTGGAGTGTACCTGTGATCCCTACAAAAAAAACAATAGGTAGGTAGGTAGGAGGATTGTGGTCTGAGGCCAGCTCAGAGCAAAAACTCAAGATCCTACCTGAAAAATAACTAAAAGCAACTAAAAGAAAAAAAAAAAGGAACTGGTGGAATGGGTCAAGTAGTAGAGTGTCTTTAGGCCTTAAATTCAAAACCCAGTAGCACCAATAAATAAATGGATAATAGTTGTGTTAGGTGCCATTTAATTAATCTTCACCAAATTTCTGTATCCGTCTCCAAAGTCTGAGATAATCCAGGTTCAGGTCAAATAACTTGCCCAAAGTCACAGTTCTTAAATTCAAATCCAATTTCTGTGGAAAACATGTTTTTTCCATTGCATTGCTGTGACTCTTGGCCACATGAGTGACTGTGGTGAATAGGTGCCCATGATGTAAACAACTGCAAATACAGCATAATTCTTTAGGCTCTTCACGTTTTATACATGTTTGATGAATTTGGTGAAGTCAATGGGGAGAAAACATGGACATTTATACAAAGATCTAAGTTCACATTTGTCTCCATGTATAAGTGAAACTCAGATGAACAAAATCACCAAAAATTGAACTTCAAGTGCCCCAAGATCCTCTATGTTTTATTTAATAGGCCCACCAAAGATGTACAATGTGAGCTCTATGAAAGATAGCTGTGATTTTTATTTCCTAAAACAATGTTGATGCATGTCAGTAGTGGAACAGTGGCTCCCTCTGATTATCCATTGTAATCCTTGGAATTTGCAAATGTTACTTTGTTACCTTATATGGCAGAAAGGGATTTGCGTATTGATTAAATAAAGGATTTTCAGATGCGTGGATTATCCTATATTATCCACATGGGCTCTAAATGCAATCACAGGGTCCTTAGAGAAGCAGAAGAACATTTCACACAAATAGAAGAGGAGGAGGCAATGTGACCACAGTGATAGAGATTAGAGTGATGTGGCCACAAGACAAGGAGCACTGGCAGGCACCACAAGCAGGAAGAGACAAGGACTGAAATCTGCTCTACAGCTTCCAGAAAGACCAGAGACCTGCTGATACTTTGAGTTCACTCAGAATTGCAGGAGAATATAGTTCTGTTGTCTTAAGCCAACACATTTGTGAAAATTTGCTTTGGTAGCCATAGGAAACTAAGAAGGCACTAGAAGGCCTAAGTCATAACCACCCTAAAGATTCAATAATACATCATGGGTGTATATCTTTCTCACAGAGAAAGAAAAAGGAGGGAGGTACTTCCTCTTGATAGTGACTTCAAAGGAATTTGAATTGATCTAGGAATATATTATGACTTCCTAACTTCATTTGCTTCATATATTCTATGTAAAACTTATGTTCTGTTTTTCAGTCATTCTTTCCATCCTGCACATTTTTGTTGACACTAACACAGGTTTGACTAGTGATAAGATGTTAGGACTGACAAAATAAAGGAATGCAAATAAAATGGTGAAGTGTTCTGATTTTGTTTTGTATCAGCATGATGAAACTGAATAATTGGATACTGTGATGAGATTGAGGTATTACAATTTTGATGGTCTTAGATTGTGATAAGTATTAAACAGTAACACCATATTCTTATTTCCACAGGCTCGATGGGATGGCTTGACTGGGCGTATCACCTTCAATAAGACTGATGGTTTAAGGAAGGATTTTGATCTGGACATTATTAGTCTTAAAGAGGAAGGAACTGAAAAGGTAACTTCTCTTATAATAAATTATTAAGTAAATAAATTAATTAAGGAGCATTGTTCAAGCATTTTAGTTAAATTGCACTGACATGTAGGGGGAATAAAAAAGTTATTCTCTTGGCATTTTTATTTATCTCCAGTGTTCTAGATCATTATCCCTTATATCAGCAAGATGTTGATGTGCTAGATTCTTAAATTGACTTGCTATTAATAGTAATGACATCTAATATTTATAACACTTCTTTAACATAGCAAACATGTGCACATTACTGCCTACATAATCCTATAGGCGGACCTCATCTGAAAACTTTGAGTAATTGAGTTTAGACTTGGAAAATCAGAAGCTGTCAAAGCTTTACCTATGGAAAGGTATCCAAGGGTTACTCAGAAATTAATTTTAACTGCACTTTTATTTTGAGACTGGTGACAGAGAGATGGGATAGATAGGACAGAAGAGGCTCACTGGGGCAAGTTAACTTCACATGCTTAATTTTAGGAAAATGTGATTTTAATGTTGGCTTCTCACTTTAGGATTATTTTAGTTTTAACTCTCAACCTCAAAGTTTAAAGTTTGATTTTATTACTATTTAGAATAACACAAATGCAAACTTGTTTAATGAATAATAATAAAATACTTGATTTCTTACTGTATTTTTATAGCAATTTTAGTATTCATGACTTCAAACTGGAATTAATAAGTATAGTATGAAGATTTGCCCTTTACAATCTCAAAGAAGAAAATATTTTAGACCACTCCCCCACTCCCCGAAATCATCTGAGAATCAAAACTACATAATGTAACATTTTTTCCTATAGTGGTGAATAAGACAGTGAGTCCAATGTGCAAGATTGGCTTCAGAAGCAATCAATTTATTTAATTTGAAATAGTTGGGTTGATTTTTTTAAATGAAGCAAGATTTTCATTTCTGTTTCACTGCTTTTGTTAACTGGGATCCTTTTTGTGGCAGACCCTAACTACCCCCTCCCCCCAAATAGCATTAATCAAAATGGAGATTAATTAGGCTGAATGGAATAGAAGGTTACTACTGGTGTTGAAATGTTTGAAGAAAAAAAAATTAGTTTGCAGCTTTAAGAGTATGCATTAGATGTTCTGCTTTTTCTCCCTCTCTCTCTGGCTTCTTCACTCTGATTTGTTCTTTTGGTGGTTTAACAGAACACAAGGCATCAACCTCCCCTCCACAGTGTGTGTGGGATTTGGGCTGGAGGGAATCAAAATGAAGAATACCCATTATAAACTAAAAGTCCATAATGTTTTTAAAGATAATGCTTGCTTCTCTAGTCACAGCCTTATTCCCCTTATCATCTCCTCTTAATGTACAGCACAGAAGGGGGGAAAAAGCTGTTAAGGAAACATCTTTTGACTCAGATGGATGATGAAATCCATGGAGCTCTTGTTATGTTTTCACAGCTACTTGTACACTGCAAGATTATGCACACTCTATTGGTGTTTTTCCATCAAAGGCAAAATTGAATTAGATGAAAGTGTTTTCTATTTGTTTCTTATCTCTTCATTGTTTGCAATAACTTTTCTTTCTTCAGGTGACTTGGGCTCAATTCCTGAGAAGGCTGATTGGGCCTTAAGGCAATGGGGGAAGCCAACACATCTCTCTCAGGAGCCAAGGAAAGATATGCCCAATCCTTTCATGTCAGCTTTCTTGGGGTCCCAAAGGGAGAATTATTAAAAAAAAAAAAAAAAAAAAGCCCATTTCTCACTTTTATTCAAATTTCTACTGCTTAGAAACCCATAATGAAAGAATAAGTCATCAAGCATGCTTCTTTGTCTAGTTGTGTGTGTGTGTGTGTGTGTGTGTGTGTGTGTGTGTGTGTGTGTGGGTGTGGCTATGTGTATGGACTGATTGATTTTAAATACAAATACCTTCACTTGTTCTTTTAAGGAATCATGAAGACACTTTAATGCTGCAGCATAACTGTATATATTCAAAAGGGCTTTAAGTCATTTTTTTTGTTGTTTGAAAGGAAAAGTAACAATTAAGTATTACCACCTAGTAACTTCTGTAAAAAAATCCTAGTTCTGATTCATCTCTTTACTGTATCTGTGTCTAACTTTATATTGAATTAAGATGCAAAATTCCAAACAACACATGAAGAATATTGGACACACCCATGTACCTTTTGGGTTCCATACACCATTTTAATTAAGTGCTGTTTTTATTTTTTCCTCTGAAAACCAAGGCGGCTGGTGAAGTGTCTAAGCACTTGTATGAAGTGTGGAAGAAGGTTTGTACTCTGATAACAACCGCAGGACACTTGGGGTGGGGCAGGGAATAGCCATGGAAAAGCCTGCATCCTTCCAGTTTTGCCAGACCAGTAGCTCTCCAATTGCAGTTTAGAGGTGAGATTCTATACAGAGGGAGAAGGGGGGATAGAACATATTCTCTCTCAACATTCCCCACGAAGTGAAAACAGACTTGCCATGGATTAAGTAATGATAAATTAAATATTTCCCCTTAGATTATTTTTGTTTCCTCTGGGCAAGACCAGTTGCTGTCAGACCTGAGAGCAGATACTTCTAACTGAAGCAGACACAGGCTCATTTATATTCGTTCTCAAGTCACTAAATATTTCCCTTAAGGGAGTGAAGAAGAAAACAATGGATTTGATCCATCAGACTAGTCAGATAGGCTAAGTTTTCATAAGGATTAGAACATTTCCTTCAATGTAACCACCAAAAAATAGAAGCCACTTTTAGAAATTCTTCCTTCTTATGAACTATATTTTGTGAGAGATTTTTGTCAAAGCATACAGTCTTACAATTTATTTTAGAATTACAGTTTTCAGAGGACAAAAACATTATAAACTTTGGAAGGGAAAAGAGATTATCTTGTAAATTATAACACTCATAATTTCATAGTTCATTGGTATCATGTTGCTAATAACTGTTCATAGATTTTCATAAAGAAATGTTAAACATTAAAAACATTTGGATCATGAAAATGACCCAGTGATAGGCAAACATTGCATCATCTTTCATTCTCCTCTTTCTCACCCCTCTCTCTCTCTCCCCCCAATTCTCTCTCCCTCTCACTCTCTCTCTAAAACTACTTGCTAAAAAGTCTGTTGATTGATAGATGGACCTTAAATTACTTCAGGGTGTTCACTTTGAACAGTTTGTCAGCTTCACTTTCATCTTTGAAATTATCAGCTGAGTCACAGAAAGTGTAAACAGTTTTTCCTAGTAGCCAAAAAGCTCATCTCCCTTTTGGTGGCATTCTGTAGGTAAACTCAAAAGTTTACTCTTATTAAGTTTTAAAAACCATGGGTATAGAGCTGGAGCATGGCTCAAATGGTAGAGTGCCTGCCTAGCAAGCAGGAGATCCTGAGTTCAAACCTCAGTACAGTAAAAAATAATAACAAAAAACATGGGTTCAATAACCTTGTTTTAATCATCAGTGAACCAGAAACTAGGCTACAAAAGGTTCATCCAAAGTGAACTAGTTTCCTCTTTGCTAGTAAATAGACGACCCTATCTGGCTCTCAGAAAGCAGCTTATTACATTAATCCAGCTTGAGACTGCAGGCACTTTATGCAGTGTTGAATTAATTCAAACCAAATATCCTAAGGAATGGAATCTAAGCTCTGCTGCTGGACACAGGAAAGAGGAACTGTCCTCCATTTCTCTACATTACAGTACGTACACCCACAACCCAAAGCTGGAACTTCTTGCTCTTGTTTATATGTGCCTTTATGCCTCTTCTTTCCCAATTACCATCATTGCCACACTGTAAACCACATAAGCCACAGTATGCAGTTTGTGTTACAACAATACATCTACAATTCACAAATCACAGTAACCTGCCCTCTAGCTCAAGAGACCCTTTCAAACCTAACAAGCACAATGCACGTTCCCAAAGAAGACACCGTTTTCAAAGAGAAGGGTTCACCCCATGATATTTAAATTCCTAAAGCTCTCCTCATTACCCCAGCCTTTTTAAGTACAGAACAGTTCACCTGTAATTCTTTTCAAAAGAGGGATGGAGCAATCTTTACAAAGGCTCTCACTAAAATGTGTACTCATGATACAAAATGCAGATTCCCTTTCGTGTTTCCCCATGACACTAGGTGATTTTACTCAGCAGTTTTAGATTTTGTGTTTATGCAGTCCCTCTCTAGGTTTGGAAAATAGATATTAGTGACTCTGCACTTGATCTTAGCCAAAAGGCTGAGAAGCGATGATATTAGTGACTCTGAATGCTCTTTGGTTGTGTGACTTTTTCAAAGTTTGTGAAATGTCCTCCGGGCAAATGCTTCCCTCAGTTGTCCCAGATAACAAATGGCTGTTCCTCATGCCAGCTTAGACTGAGTGAATGAAGGCATCTAGACAATTTAGCCTTTGAGTGTTCCTCCTACAAATTGATCCACCCAACACCACCTCTCCCTGGTAAATTACTGCTGTCTGCTTTCACTCCGTGGTTTGAAACTGAGGTTCTGCTTCCTGGAGGAACTCCTCTAAGGTCATAGAACAAGACCAAAATGCCGATGTTTAGGCATCTGGTTGAATTCCACCCAAAACACACACACACACACACACGCACACACTCACTTTTTCAAACAGAGACATTCATTTGCTGACACCCTGTTCAGTTATCAGTTATTTCAATTAACAGGTAAAGCTAGTTGACTGGTTAGATTTATAATACACACACACACACACACACACACACACTTTGGTTTTGCTGACTAGTACATTTAAAAACAGAAGGCTGAGATCATTCAAATCACATATGTATTCTGTTTACATCCTAAGAATAGCCTGACCTTTAGATATTTTGATACTTTTCTAGTTTATATTTAAAGGCTGTTCTGTTATTCAGGTTAAAGGAAAAACTGGTCTCCCTTCTCTCATTTTACGGAAGAAACTGTGTGCTATTGATACTTGTGATTTAGTTGATTGAAAAGGCAGTAGCAATGATCTCTTACCTTCTGCACTTTTGCTGCAGAGGGTAAAAGAAATAAAAGCTAGATGTCAAGCTGTGGCATATATTTGTCTATAACTTCAAGTTTTATTTTAAAGTAAATGATTGTAATGCCACCCAACACCTTAATTTCCAAATATGAAAACTCAGAAAGGTGAGGCAGGAGGAACATGAGTTTGAGCCAGCTCAGGCAAACTTAGTGAGACCCTATCTCAAAAGCAAAATATAAACAAAAGGGCTGGATGCATGAGTCTAGTGGCAGAGCATTTGCCAGGCAAGTACTGGGCTGAGTCCCCAGCACTGTAAGAAAACAGTTCCTCTACACACACTTACATTAATGATAGTATGAATTAAAGAAAATACATTCTATGACTTTAAAAAGTGGCTACAAACACACGTATGTTCTCCATCCTTCAATACTTAGTTAATAACTGGGTTCCATTCTCTAATTAAACCTAAGGTTTAATTATATTTATACTGAGGTCCCAATTTATATACAGTGTTCATGGAGTTACAAGTTAATTGATCATGGATTAAAAACCAATGGACAAATGTATTTAGCCTGAATTATGTTTCCTAGAAGCCAGGTTCTCTGCCTTAAAAAGTGGGAGGAGGGGCAAAGATTGAGAAGAAAGAAAAGAAAATGTCCCCTCTTCTGGCTTTAAGGCTAGCCAAAGAAAACTGAAGAGTTTTCCACCAACACATCATGTACCTTCTATCAGACAGCCATTACAGGAGTCCTGAAAATAATAATGAAAGGTTATTAGGGTGCTGGACTATATACCCCACTCCTACTTCTAATATTGCCTCTTTTTAGATAATACCATAGGACATTCACATACAGAGTACTACTCCCAAACCTCCATTTACCTCTACCTGTCTTTTTATTTCTCCAAACAATCAACCCTAACTAAGTTTGGAAAAATAATAGACACAGTGAAACTGAAATAGTTCTCACTAATGTGTGAATGTGTATTAGTTCTTAAAGCTTCCTCATAGCATGTATACCTCTGAAAAGGAAACTTGTCAAGCCAATTGCATTTCCAGCTACTAAATGTAGGCAGTAAATTAAAGCAAAGAGATAGAAAAACAAAGGTAGAAAGGGCCTAACAGACTCACATGTCATAACTTGTTTAATCATCAGAAAAGCCCTATTTTTTAAATAAATTTTTATTAGGATATATTTATTATATGGGGGGTTAGTGACAATTCTGATTAGACTTATATTGTATATTAGTTACATTGCCCCTATTGTCTCTCCCCCTCAGTCCCCTCCCCACCCCATTTTAAGCAATTGCAAGAGGTTCTAGTTCTAGTTCTATTTCATATAGGTACATGAAGTCCATCAACCATATATCTTCACCTTAATCCCCTCCTTCACCCTCCCCCCTCCTGCTAGTACTCCACCCACATGCTGTACCTATTTTACTATACCTATTTAATTGCACTTTATTATTAAGGTTTGGGTACCCCTTAACATGCACAAACACTTCCACATATATCCCTATAAGTACTTTATAGTCAGAGAACTAAAGTGCAGAAAGGATAGCCTCTAGTCCAAGGTCACATAGCAACTGCCAGTCTGTTTTTACCTGACTTTTACATACACATTCCCATAGAATTCAAGCCCATAGAATGCAAACAAATCAAGCAATTCTTCAAGGCTTATTCTGGTTTCCTCCAGAGCTTAAACAAATTAATGGACAGGTTGAATATTCCTTATCTGAAATGCTTAAGATGAGTAAAGATGTGAATTAAAAATTTTTTTGGATCCCAGGACTTTTTAAAAAAATAGATAATGAGATCTCTAGGGTTGAAACCTAAGTACAAATAATAAATTTGCTAATGTTTTATGTACACATTAGATATATAGCTTGATGGTAATCTTAGCATATCTGTATTTTGACTGTGACCCATCAGGTGAGTTTGGGTGATTTGGGAGAATTTCATATTTAGGAAATAGGGAATTTCAACCTGTATTTCTACAAGGCCTAATAACCCAGTGGTAACTAGGCCACTGAATAAAATAGGAGATCATTTTTTTTTGTAAGATAGTGGGCTTCACTGAATGCCAACTGTCATGTGACTTCTATGATACAAAGATCAGGGAGCAATAAAAGTGAGTGTCCTCTCTGGAGGAGTTCATGATCAAGTGGACACAGAAGACAGGTAAGCAGATGACAATAAACAAAAGATGCTAGCCACTTAGAGGTGTGAGCGATGTCTTCCCCATAAGAGGAACCCCTGCCCAGTATTGACTCCTCAGTGAAGATAGGTCCAGAACTCTGTCTACATCTCATCTGCATAATTTCTCCTATCTTTTTCTCTTATTGATGCCCAACTCTCCACTACTCACCTGCTCTCTCCATCCCTTTATTCATAAACTTTAAAGGAACTAGGTGATACCATTTCAGCAGCATAATATTTTGTATCAGCAGAATGTAAGCTCCATAAAGGCAGAAAATTTTTTGTTACTATACTGCTATATCCTTCAGTGCCTAGAACTGTACACAAAAGCAGGTGCTAAATAAATATGTGTTTGGAGAAAAATCTGGCAATCATTTAAGAAATCTTAACTTTTTAATTTCAATAAGAGCAATGAGTTTAATAAAATAAGAAAGACCTTGTCCTACCCCAAACACAAATTTCTTCTACTGTGTCTACGTGCTCATTCTTCCATTGTTTCATTTTCCCACACTGAGTAATTCCATTATAATATTCTGGTGCTCCAGACTGTAAGTTTTTGTGTCCATTCCTGGTGCAAATAGAATCTCTTTAGTGTAAATGCTGTCACAGACAACCAGCAGCCACTGATGTACTGTGTTCTGTGTAGATTGGGATTTGGAACTCCAACAGTGGGCTTAACATGACAGATGGCAACAGAGACAGGTCCAACAATATCACAGATTCACTGGCCAACCGAACTCTTATTGTCACCACCATTCTGGTAAGTTGTCACAATGAAATTATGGGCATCTTATCTAGACTCCTACTGTAGACTTGAAGATATTCCTTACCTGTCTGTCTCATGATGACAATTCTGTATGCATATGTCTATTTTTTAATTGGTGAGCTAAAAATAAGTGTTGGTACATATTTGTAATAGGATTTAATTACAAGCTTCCCACATGCATCTGAAGACCCCTCACCCCAGAGAATTCTTGCCCTATTGTGCCCTGTTCCCTACCCCATCTAGCTGATCTTTCTTGCTCTCTGGCTTCCAGATAGTTGGTTGGTTTCAACCAAGAGGAGACTCTAGCAAAAGACCAGGGAAGTAGGAGGAAAGAGGCAAGAGAAGTTCTTCCCCTCATCCTTGCCTACTGCCAACCAATGGTTTTGTCAGAACCTCTGTTCTTCCATAACCACATTTCCTAACCTATCAGTGGCCCCACATCCAGACTCCAGGGCCTTCTTCCCCATCTCTCTGTCTCAGCTCTCACTCTTCAAGTTTCCTAATGGAATTGGTCCCTGCGTGTCCAAATCATGCCTCTAGTCTCATTCACCCCCACCTTCCTTGGCTCCCTGTCTCTGTTCACACATCTGTGAATTGCCTTTTATTAACTGTTCTTCCAAAGTCCTGTGTTCTATTGGAACATAAACCTTAACCCCACCAGCCACTGTAAATGTCAGTTCTTTTCTGTCCCCCTTTCCTGAGGGAGCTGGACAGTAGTAATTCTCTCTGAATTCTTCACTTGTAGGCATACCTGCTTTATTTTATTCAGTCCATGGTATTAGAGATACTTATTTTTGAAACAGTTAGCTTGAAAAGAATTGTTAATTTAAAAAACTATTTTATTCCTCTGGCCACTACTTTCTCTGCAACCAGCTTCTGGAAATGTAGGGTTTTCCATTATAGTCTTATGACACAACTATGTTTATTTATGATTAACCTAAACACATATGCCATTATCAAAACTATAGTGTTTGTTACAATTTTATAAAATAAAATGAACTCTCATTTAGTCAAATGAGAACTAAGTTTATAGACACCCGGTATGGAGGAGAAGTTCATTATTTGTAGAAGGAAAGATTTATCATAGAAGCATATAAGCCAGGAATGACTAGAATTGAGATTTGAGATGATTTTAAATAAGACTATGGAACTGATGATAAAAGAAGACATAAAGATGGCTAACATAGCTAGATAGATGGTTGATGATAGATAGATAGATAGATAGATAGATAGATAGATAGATAGGTAAAGTAATAGTGAAATTTATTTAAGGAAATGAGAATATTTAGTAAATAGAAAGTTTAAAATAGGACAAAATGTGATTTCCATTTCTGTTTCATAAGTAGATAGGGCACTAAGTTCAAAACCAAGTAAGAGTAAGGTCCAGCAAAGGATGTCATGGTGGGACAGGCCCAGAAGCCAGATATCTGGGCCCAATTGCCCTCTGAGTCTTTCACTGTTCTCAGACCCAGAGTTTAAACACATCTGTGTCTCTGTTATACCATTAACTCACAACACCCTCTTCAGTAGTGGGAGAAAATGCTCGCATCTCAAGAGGTAGAAAGGAAAGAAACAACAACATATGAAGTGTTCTATATTTGTAGAGGGAATAGTGCAGATAGAAAGGTAAATGACTGAATTCAGTACTCTCAGCTCTTAGAAATCATTTTCCAGTGTTGTCTGTCTTCAGGCTGCTGATGGAGCAGCTCTTCCTTTGTTGGTAATGGAGTTTTCTTATGTGGCTTGTTTCTCTTAGGAAGAGCCCTATGTGATGTACAGGAAATCTGACAAGCCTCTATATGGAAATGACAGATTTGAAGGATATTGCCTGGATCTGCTGAAAGAATTGTCAAACATCCTGGGCTTCCTTTATGATGTTAAGCTAGTCCCTGATGGCAAGTATGGAGCCCAGAATGACAAAGGAGAGTGGAATGGGATGGTTAAAGAACTCATCGATCATGTAAGCAAAAATATATCTGATCGTCTGAAAAGATGTTGTGCGAGGAAGAGAAAAGAAAAATACAGTTGAGTCAGTGTCAGAAAAAACTTGCTTTCTTTTAAATCATAAAAATTGCCTTCTACAATGTAGAGTAAAACAACACAGATATGAAGTTTGCTTATTTGGAATATAAGAATAAAAATGTGTGAGTCTATCCTCCATACCAAAGAATAAATAAGCTTCAGTGATAGGTAAGACACCTAAAAAACTAGCTAGCATTTGTTGCCCTTAATGCAGAGAAACTAAAGCAGATACCTTAAAGCAACTGAGGCCAATAGGAAAAGGGGACCAGGAACTAGAGAAAAAGTTAGATCAAAAAGAATTAACCTAGAAGGTAACACCCATGCACAGGAAATCAATGTGAGTCAATGCCCTGTATAGCTATCCTTATCTCAACCAGCAAAACCCCTTGTTCCTTCGTATTATTGCTTATACTCTCTCAACAACAAAATTAGAGATAAGGGCAAAATAGTTTCTGCTGGGCATTGGGGGGGGAGAGGGAGGGGGTGGAGTGGGTGGTAAGGGAGGGGGTGGGGGCAGGGGGGAGAAATGAACCAAGCCTTGTATGCACATATGAATAATAAAAGAAAAATGAAAAACAATAAAAAAATAAAAAAAATAAAAAAAAATAAGCTTCAGTGATTGTTAGATTCAGAATTTAAATTAAGATTTTAGACTCAAAGCAAAGTCTCATCTTGTTAACTAATATTAAGACTAAATTTCTCATTCCTTCCCTTTCCTACTTGCCTTTTTAAAAGACATTCTTCTGCATTTTGTCTTCTATCTAGTTCCTGAATGATTTTATATATATATATATATATATATATATACATATAAATGTCTATGTGTACATGTATATATTTCATACCTTCTGGTTTCTCTTTATTGATAATATTATCAACAAATTTTGATAATCGCTTTGATGATAACTGTATGATTGTTTTAATATTAAAACCAATTATCATAGAAACTTCTTGCATGAGAAGCATTTGAAATTGAATATAGGGATTGGGGACACTCAAAAAAAAAGTCTAAACATTTGGACAGATGGGGTAAACTAAACTGACAATTTTGGGCTTACTTTGACAGAGGGCTGACCTAGCAGTGGCTCCTCTTACCATCACTTATGTGCGGGAGAAAGTCATAGACTTTTCCAAGCCTTTCATGACCCTGGGCATCAGCATTCTCTACCGAAAACCCAATGGGACCAATCCAGGCGTCTTCTCCTTCCTCAACCCCCTGTCTCCAGACATTTGGATGTATGTGCTCTTGGCCTGCCTGGGAGTTAGTTGTGTGCTCTTTGTGATTGCAAGGTAAGCTTGAGAACACTGAATTCACAACTGTCTCAGTCTCCAATCTCAGGAATTAAGAACTTTAAAGTACACTTTTATTTTTGTTTATTGTTCTGTCCTCTCAGGTTTTCTATATAAAAGTTGCACTACAAATTAACATGTAATTATTCATAAAGATACTTTTTTTAAAGGCAGTAAGAAGATAGTGTTTTATATTAGTTAAATTTTATCAATATTTCAAGCAGTGTGAAATGGTTATTCATTCTTTTTCCCTGAGTTACAGTACAATAAAAGCAATGACTCAACTAATATATCTAAAATGTTTTAATAAGAGTAATAAGATGACATCAAAGAATTTGACTCCTGGAATACTTGGATAAGTGAAAAGGAAAAGAAAGCTAGTACTTATAATGAATAAGAAACAGTGGAATAAAATGATTGTGAAATCACTGTCAGTAAGTAAAGAAAAATACTTCAAAAATTTGATGACATGTATTTTTCCAAACATTAGACAGACAAGAGAATTATAGAAAAAACAGTGAAAAGAAACATTACTTACATGTAGAAAGTGGATGAAATCTTTATGCTACATTAAGATGCTTCAGTTTAGGTTTTATTTTTGAAATTTATCTCCTTTTTAAGCATTTTGCTCTACACAATTCATCCAAGGATTTTATACTTCTCAGTAGATCATATATTTAGGAAATACCTTTGTTGCTGAACTTGAAATAACTACATTTTATCTTTTTTGCTGGCTTAAATTTTGGCATCCCTAGATAAACCATGTTACAGATAATTGCTTTGGTATGTTGCCCTATTTGTTTTCCATCTTTTCACCTTCAACAAAATTCAGGGAACTTTTCCCCTAATCAATTTGTTTTCCCCCAGGAATTTCTAAAAAAAAATACTTCTTCATGCTAGCTCTCTATCATTGTCCACTGTACAGTTTTGATTAATTCCAGGTAACTCTTTCCCTGGCATAATTATAAAGAAAATTCAGAGAGCAACCCAAGCTGGAAAAGTGTGAGAGATCCACAAAGCAGGCATAGTTACACTGAATAAAGTGTGCTCTCACATGTGAATATTTATACATTTGATACAAAGTGAAAGTTTTGAAGTTCTCTACGCCTTGTAAAATGTACCATTACCAAATCCCAGATTTATGCTTTTTAAATAGTGATCAAAGTTCTCTTTCCATGCACCTTCCCCCAGAAAATAAAATATTGTTAGTATATATGGTGATATTATTCTTTGATACTTTAATACTCAAGTCAGTGACTCTCAGCCAAGAAACATTTTTGTTCCCCAAGGACATGTGACCATGTCTGGAAACATTTTTTGGTTGTCACACCCAGGGGTGAGAAGTGCTCTTCATATTAAATGGATAGAGTATGGGAAAGCTTCTAGACATCAAACAAGTACGTGAGACAGCTACAGACACACACACACACACACACACACACACACACACACACACAAAGAATTATCAATTCCAAGACTGAGAAACCATTCTCAAGTCAAAGAAAACATTGTCTTAGAAATAAAAATTTTAAAAATAATTTATTCACCTCTAGAGATGTAATTTCTCATTATGTATTTTTCATTATGGATCTTTGAATTAATAATTCCTTATCTAGAATATCCAATTAATAAATGACCACTCTAATATGTAGTCCCCTCCAATGATGCAGAAGCACTCTTGTATTTACTTGTTACTCCTCCACCTAGTTGTGCAATCCAAGGAACAGAGAACAATAAAAAAGTGAGATCTGTTTCAGCAGTGATGCTAGTGAGCAGAACAAGCAAAACAATGTTGATGAGCAAGTCAGTCATTTATTAAAGTAAAGTAGACCAAAGCTAATGGGAGAAAAAAAAACATTTCAGCAGTATCTGGAAGTTCTCACAGCACACAGGCTGATGCTACCCTTTTATACTTAACTGTAACTGTAACTTTAAATCACCTTATTTTTGTCATCAGAATATGTCAGAATAATAGTGTAATATCCAGTATTTGCCCCTATTATTTTGTCTGTTCTTCCATAAGCTCTTGGTGACCAACACCTCTATTTGTGACTTCATACAGTCTATTGCTGTTATGAAAACTCAGCCCCCTCAATCCATCACTCATTATGCCTACTTATTGACAGTATCATTTTTAAACCAGCCCTTCCTCATTGAGCTTCTTCTCCTTACTGCCCCTTTCACTCCCTTTCTCTTGTTCTGGTTCATGGGGAAGTAGAATGCTATGCATCAAATGCAAACTTGCAAACAGCATAGTGAGGAAATATACAAAGTATAAAAATATGGAAAATAACTCCTGCAGTGCACAATCAGACTGTCAGGATACTCTACACTTAACTCCACCTTCTCTACACCTTTGAGTCTACCCCTGCTCCTACTTTATAAACCCACTAAATGTGTTTTGGAGGAGATTACCCAAAGTGAATCCTACTTGAATAGGTATGCCAAATTACCTTTACTCTCCATCATTTGGAGCCACGAACTTGGTTACCCCACACCAATAAGTTAAGATGTAAAGTGATTTAAGTTATGATCTTAGTGGTTTACTTTCAGAGTAGTAACGTAGAGATGAAAAAAAATCTCATAATCATCTTTAGCTCTAGAGAGATTTTTGAATTTGCTGTGAGGTACATCCTTTTATGTTCTTTTAAAGGAGAAAAATAAAACTCAGCCTTTTAATGCCCTCACTAGATAGATGCTTAAAAATCATTGGCTGAAATCAGTTGAATTTGCAAAGTCATAGACATCGACGGAAAAAAATATGGAAAAGAATATAAAAATTCCTATAATTGTGACTTGTAACAAATTTTCATGTCAATGTTTTTTGTCCTGTGGTCAACAATTTTTTTTAATTTTTGAAAAATCTTTCACCCCAAGGAATTAACATCCATGATAAACACACAATTTAAATACACCAAATATCCATATAATGTTTGCTTATGTTTGATGATTTACATTTGCCTTCTTAAAAATGAACACTTTTAAGTTGGCATTTGACAAAACATTTAAAAATGTAGAAAGAAATGCAACCTTTGAAGGTAGATTCTAAGATTATAATACAAACCCAATGGTTATATTACAAGTTCAAACAGACCTTTCTCCTTTGATGAATGAATGGATCTTTGACTCTTCAGGGCAGCCCAGGGTCCACACTCATCCCTAAAAAGAAAGTACCTTAATTAAGGAATTTCAGTGTAAGGATCATTTAAAAATCTTCCATTCAAGTGCATCAACTTTCACATTGCAACAGAAGGCTACTCTTTCATATACTAGTTTTGACCCAGACTATCATTTTTCTCAAGATCAGCACTGATTTCGTGAGGGTTCTTTAGAGGAATCAGTTTGAGATTATCATTGGTACAGGACTGTATTAATATCTGCCCCAGTCCTCCTGATGCCAATATGCTGTCAAACTGCCTATATTTAAGCAGGCATTAGAAATTTCAGTTGAAGTATCTACATCCAGATGACAGGTATATAAAAAGCCAGTGGCTTACAACACAGCCTCATGTCATTGTTTCATATTCCTCAGTCCACATGCTCCCATAATCACTCCGAATCCTGGAGAAAAAGAAGCTACAGTATCTCCTGCAGAGCAGGCAGACTCATGTTGCTGCTTAGAAAGTTTCCCCTCCCCATAGAAAATTCAATTAATTATTCACAAGTGCAAAGTATGAAATACTGAAAAAAAGACAAAATTTTAAGCAGCATTCCAAAGAGGTGAGCCCATGAATCAGAGCATATCAAGGGGATAAAAACTAGACTATCAGTTGCTGACAGTTGCCAGGTTTTATGTTGAATTTGAAAAAACCCCTTCTCTCAAATGCCTAAGCCTCCTAATTTATTGCAATTAATATGTTAAATTATTGTACAAGTGGCAATGATATTGTTTAAATAACAACATCTTTATTCTGCATGCTATCTCAATTAGTAGGTTCATTAATATTGGTATTCATTCCTTCAGTTCAGCAAACTACTATGGTTATAAGAGTGTATAAATTCAAAACTTAATTGTATTGTTGAAACAGTAATTAAAATGTATTGGCATGCTATTGTCAATTAAAGCTATATTCATAAGCTTCACAGGAACTTCCACAGTGTACCCTGCAGCTGTAGAAAGCCACAGGAATGAGTCAGGTATCTTTATGGCAAGATAAGCTACCAAGCTGTTATCATAGTCCCCCTAAGACTCGATAGGAAGACTCTGTACACTTTCCAGAAGGTGTCCAGGGGCTTAGAGAATGGTTTTTCATTAAGAGGAACTCTCTGCCCAGTTCGTTGTACATGATTCACAGCGTGCCCTGCTTTTCACTATAGATAATATATTCATCTTAAGCCCGGTTCTCCCTGATGTGTCAGCAACCTGCTATTGTTTACTGCTGAAACCTTATGGCTTGGAGAGCATTCCTTATGTTCTCATCAGCTTTATGGTATTTCAACATTACTTTAACACTCCTGCTTGCATTAAAAGGACCCAGTGGCAAATGGCAAAGCTTCCAGTGCTAAGAATTATTGCATTTTAAATCATTTCCAGATCACTTTGCTGAGCATCTGATGATATCTCCTTAGAAAAATAAACACGGTTTGGCAAGGTAGCCTTTGAAAAATAACTGCAGAGCAGAAACCTCCTCTGGGTTACACAGGTCAGACAGATGCTAGAAAATAAAGAACCAAACATATATCCATACCCTCAAATTTTTATTTTAAGTGCCACTCCCCAGAGATGTCCGGATTCCTTCCTTTCTACACATAAGGAAACTGAGGCCAAAGAGGTTGAGTTAAATTACTCAAGTCAACTTCCTTGACTATTAGTTGTCTTTCCAGAAACTGTTACTGCCTGCAGCTTACCACCTTACAGGTAGAGCTGTGATAATGCTGTAGAAAACACTTCTTACCTAACCAGGGTTGGTGATTAAGTGACTGCAGGGCATAGTTCAAAAAACAATTCAATTAAAAATAAATCAAAAGGAAATTATGAGCTTAAAATTTTCCAGCCAACTCTGGTACACACTTAATACTAATGTTCTCCTCTGCCTGGGCTATGATACTGCCAAAGCTCTTCTTTGAAGGATTGTGATTTATGTTTTCAAATACCGTACCAGAAATATATAACACCTCCCAACTCCAGCCTTTCTTTGTTTCCATGATGGTTTTTTCATCCTTGAAGCCTCTTTGATGCCTTATGTAACTGCTAACTACTTAGACTCCTTGTAAGCATCTGCCCACAGGAATCATAGAAATTCCTCAAAGTCAAGTCACCCCTCTTCTTCATGCCTCCCACAGAACCTAGCAACACAGGATCTTGACACTGTAGTTGCTGTGCAACAAGTTTGTTCCTCTCATCGCTACTTGGTAGGGGTGAACACTTGGGATGGGGGAAACTTTCCTTTCAGTCCATCTAGTTGTTTAGTAAAGCAGAAGCGAACAAAGACCCAGAGGAACTCAGTAGTCATAGATCTGAGGAGTACAATTCTAGCCAACCAATGGGCTTAATGTAGAAATAAGAAACCCAGTAGCTACTAACTCAAGACTCTTGCACCGCACCTAACAAGCTATAAGTTTCTGAATATGGCCTTTACTCTTCCAGTTTGATGTGTTTGTAATTAATTTGAGTTTTCTGCATTGCTCAGCAGGTTTTGCCAATGGGCCATGGATTTATCTGATATTTACAGACTGTTTCTGTTAACTACTACAGGTTTACACCCTACGAGTGGTATAACCCCCACCCATGCAACCCTGATTCAGACGTGGTGGAAAACAATTTTACTTTACTAAATAGTTTCTGGTTTGGAGTTGGAGCTCTCATGCAGCAAGGTACACCGGTTACCCTTCTTTGTCACACGCATCCCACAGTCTGCTGACAGGCTTTTGTGCTGGTAAACTCCACCATGAAGCTAGAGGGTAGGCTGACACACTGTCTCAGGGATTAATAATAGTAACTGACTTTCTAGCCAGTTCTGAAGACAGAGACAAAAATATGACCTAAATGGAACCCCCTTTGCTATGCATTTAAAATAACCCTTCTACCAATCAATAAATACACTTTTTTTCTGTGAGTAGCCAAGGATAAAATACCTTAGAAATTGTTTACAAATTTGCATAGGCAGACTTAGATGAACATATCAATACTTTCCTTTTTAGCTGTAACTCCACAAGTCAGAGGTTTGAAATAAGTAGAATTTAAATCCTTTGAAGATTAAGTTCACTTCCATACTTAGATTCTAACAACTACTAACAGTACCTAAAACCTCCACCTAATTACCACTCTGAAAAACCCTACTGAGATTCATCTTAGCCTCCCGGTAACTTTTTACAATCTCCCTAGATCAGTAACCCATAGCAACAGTAAACTGTAGAGACTGGGGAAATAAAATGGAAACCAGAGAAATGTAATGTATTTTGTATTTTTTCTATGATTTAAGGGATTTTGCTTTTGTTGAGGGAGAAAGAAAAGTTATTTTAACCTTTGGAAGAAATCCATCTCTTTTGTGGATTTTCTTCAGTTTTGATTCTAGGCACATGGTCTTAAAAATACTTCCAAGATTAAATGCATTAATTTAAGAAAAATCATAAGTCACAGATGCTGTTGGTTTTGAACTATCTGCTCATTTGACAACAAGCTGAAAAACAAACTGGGAAAAGAAAACCCAATGTTTATATTCTGTGTCTCTAATTTGAGAGAAAGAGAAAGAGAGATTAGGGAGGAGAGAGAAGAGTCAGAAGAGAAAGAAGAAAGAGGGGCACTTAGGGGTCAATGGAGTGGAAATACCAAATAATTAAAGAAAGTGGGCAAATCCTTTCTCTATGCAATTAACTTCATTTTATATAGGCACTGCTGAAGAGGTATAGATATCACCAGACTTACTAGAAATCACTGGCATGAATTTAAACCATAGCATAGCACAGAGCTATAAATCCTGTAAGAAGCCCCATTAGAGGCCATATCTTGCTTTACCAGTGCATTTAATTTTTAGGGTATTTATCTTGTGAGCAGTTACTTCAGAATGAAAGAGACCTCCTCTCATTCCCCATAGCTTGCTTTATCCTGTCAGTAGGATAGAAACAAAAACGCTCAGGTTTCATAGAGCATGCAGCAGACCTTCTGTCATGTGAGTGTGCTCAGCCCCAGAAATTCTCTTTCATATTCTCCTCTTGGAGTTTACCATCATCCACAGCAAACTGTGGGATGCAGTGTCTGTTACCACTACCTTGGGTACATGACAGTCAGCCCCAACCAGACTCTGCTTGTCTTTCAAGACATTTACAAACATTTGTCAGGTGCAACAAATGTTTCCATGTACAGACTTATGGTATTCGTGACCGCTGGTGCATCTGTCCTTGGCTTGTGGTGTTGACCCAGGTAGTTATGCTTGTGCGCTCTTTCTTGTTCACAGAAACTTGTTATTGTACTTAATTGGAAACCATTTTGTTTAATTTTTTTTAATGTGATGATCAGACTTTCTCTTTTCTACAGAGCGTGAGCAAAGTCTGGATCAGGATTGGCTGTCATGTCTGCCATAAAAGGCTTAACTAAAAAGACTTCAGCAAGTATTGTCTCTCATCCTGGACATTTTCCAGTGGTGTTTTGCTCTACTTTTTGTCTTCACAACTTCATCTTCTAGAGATCTAAACTTAACACAATCATCTCTTCTTGAGGGAAACCATTTCTAAATATATCAAATAACACTGAGAACAAAAAATTCACAGAATTATACAACAAATTCAAAACAACAAAGGAATCACTGAGAAATTTAATACCATCTACTAAGGGTTTAAAATGCATTTTTAGTAGGTTTCTATATTGTTTGTCTAAATTTCCAAGAGAATTTTAACTGAAAATACAAATATTTATTTTTAAGTAAGAAAAAGGTGAATTTATATTATTACATGACAACATTTGGTTATTCATCTCTCTGTCCAGTTTTACTATCACACAATTATTAAAATATACAAATAAGTTACCTTTTTTTATAAAAGTAACAAAATAGCATAAGAATAAATTTGCACCAGAAAATATGTACCTATAAGGTAAGAAAAATATTAACTGTGTTATTTATTTCCCATGGCTATTTTATAAAATGATAACAAACTAAATATTTTAATGATAACAAACTAAAGATCTAAAATAATATCACACTGCCACAAGGCTGCCAGATCAATTAAGTACAGAGATATGAAATAACCTTGGGCTTTAAACACACACACGCCTACAGGCATATAAATCCCATTAAATCCCAAGATTAAAAAAAACAGCAACAAATTATTCCAACAAGTCCTTGGAGGCAATTTAAATTGAAGCTATTATAAATTTGTGTAATATTACACACCCAAATTCAAACAAACAAGAGAAAGAAACACAAACTGCAGCCAAACCACTTACCTCATTAGAAGGAAGCAAATCATGAAGATACTTACTAGCATTAGGAGAATATGTCTGTTTATTCAAAAGCCCGGAAATGCTGCCAAGCCTCATCTGCTTATCACTAACCTTGAGCTGGCTTTGATTTCATGATCAGCGTGTCTGTTTATAGATTAAACCTGAGCATAAACTGATTTATTTGTAGATTTGTTAACTCCACACTTTCTCTCCCTCTTATAACATGATTAACTATGAAATTTCAAAACATCCAATAAATACAAAAACAAAGGATCCTTTGAACCCTGTATTTGGCCTGCTATATTTTAGGCTTTGGGATTTTAAAATGGGAGTGATTTTTCTTCACTTTGTAACTGGACACATAAACTCTGTCATGCCTTTGGGTTCATGGAAGAAATGCTAAGCATAGAAATAAGGGTGAATTTCAGTCAAAAAGACTGAATCAAATGGACAAAATCCATTCATGAATCAGTAAATTCAAGTGATCTCAATCGCACTTCTGGTCACCTCTGAGTCTGCTGCTGGATGTACAGACATCCACATCTCAAGGATGAGCTAGATCATTTTCAAAATGTTTGTCTTTCATGTAAGCAAACTTAGCCCATGGACTCTTTCTTTCAAAGAGAAAAGTTTTCTTGGTAAACATATTAAATGTCTTTATGTTGTGTTTTAGAAGTAAGCATGAATTATCTCAATGATATCCAAAAATATATTCTTACTAGGAAAGACATCTCTCAGAAATAGCCAGTTTTGGAGTCTTCTTAAGAAATAGCATGTTATTTAAGGATGAAATTATGCTTTTCAGACAATATATTCTATTTTATCCAAACAAGACTCTACATTAGACAAAAGAATTGTGAGCCAGGAACGGTGACACAAGCCTGTAATCCCAGCACTTGCGAAGAGGCTGACGCAAAAGGAGCACAAGTTCCATGCCAGCCTGGGCTATACCAAGACCTTGTCTCAAAAATTAATAAAATAAAATAAAACAAAATAATATAAAAAAGATAAAAAGAGGGGTGAATTTTAAAATAACATATGACAAAAACTGACTCATTTATAGTCAAGTATAGCTGTACCTTCATTTTATTTACAAACTCCCAGTATTTCATTATAGTGTGTGTAAAAAATGGCATGATATATTAATCTGTTGAAGTTCCTCAATGCTTTCGCCTCAAATAAAAATAAGGTAGCATTTAAAAGCTTTTCATGATTAACAAAGGCCCAGAACATTATACATAACACTGTAATTTTACACAATAATAAAAGGCCAGAAGTCTTAGGATTGCCTTCAATTTTAAGCAATGGAACTAAATTTTAGGCAAAATATCTTAGAATTAAAGCAATTTTGATGCCACCAGCTGTTGATAAATCACATTCTAAATGGAAGTAATGATGAATGATTTAAAGAAAGGATCATTTAGATTTTGCTCCATTTCTAGAAAATACATTTATTTCATCTTCATACAAGAGAGTAAGACCTTGATGGGCTTATCTCCCAAGAACAGTGTCTGACTGTAAGCCTTTTCTTTCCTTCTGACTCTGTTTAACCCTTAATCTGATGATGCCATCACAGGATCAGAGCTGATGCCCAAAGCTTTATCGACCAGAATAGTTGGAGGAATATGGTGGTTTTTCACCCTAATCATCATTTCATCCTACACTGCCAATCTTGCTGCCTTCTTGACAGTAGAGAGAATGGAATCCCCCATAGACTCCGCAGATGATCTAGCAAAGCAAACCAAGATAGAATATGGGGCAGTCAGAGATGGATCAACAATGACTTTCTTCAAGGTAAGAAACTGACAAAGTGTTCTCAGTGGTTATCTTATATATTGGGGGGAGAGAAGGGCAAATAAGAGTCTGTTCAATTAAAAATAAAAGGTATTAGACAATCTTAATGCAACAAAATATACAATGGCATAATCCCATTATAAGGAGCCCCTGTGCCCTCATCCATCAGTATAAAGTAATTTCTCTCTCTGCCATTTCTTTTATCCCCAGTTTAGGACTGAGATCTGCAGACTAGTACCTCAATATCCTCTCTGGCTTTTACACTAGGAAAAAAATGCTACATTTTGAATACAATCTAACAGCCTGTTAATTGATTACTCTTAAATGGAACCCACAAATGAAGATTCCTTAACATAAAATTCTGACAACCAAAATACTTGAATATCATTATTTTTTTCTTTCTGTTCTGTACTTGACGAGGTAGAAGCAGTTGACAAAAAAAGAATGTGTTGATATTGTAACTGGGAACTCTGGTCTATTAGGTCATCACACTAGTGAAGGACAGGGCTTCCAGCCTGTCCAGGCTGGAAGTAGCTATGAGTACCTCATGAGGCACCAAAGGAGAATTAAGTTACATCTGGCTTGGTTTTAAGATCAAGCACATATAAGATCAAGCAATTTCTTCCGAATTACTTATTCAGAATGAGACTGATTTCTGCCTTGCTTATCGAGGAATCCCTGGTACTTTTATTATCAAATCTCAGATATATAATTCTCCATGAAAAAACAAATGGATTTTAATAGACCAAATAGGTTTAGAGATCAGCCATTCACTTTATGTATGGAGAGGGCATGACCTTCAGAAGCTAAATTATCTGTTCACAGTCACATATCTGGTCCCTTATAGAAAAGAGGATAGAGAATTATTTTAAGAAACACTGATGGAGGAAAACATTTGCAACCAAAATAACCTAAAAACATTTGCATGAAGGATTTATACTCAGATTACAAAAATTGAAGTAGTCAGCCCAAGATTGGATGGACTGTTGTGATTGATTTGTAAAGAATACTAATTTTGAAACAAAAACTAAGGAGGTGGATACAAAAAAAGTGAATACTTCTTTGTATGACAGTATTGACTCAAAAAAACAAGCATTGTCTGTGCAGTAAATTTTAACAATATATTCGTAATAAATAAGAAGACATACTTGTAAAGAATAAACCACGCCTAGAATTTTATCAAAAAGCAGACAAATGTAAGAAAGTCGATTTACTTTTCCCATAAGTTAAGAAAAACATTTTTAAACAATCTTTTCATTTTGAGAAACATGTCATTGACTTAGTGAATGTATGAGTCAGAGTGATTATTTCTTCTGTGGACAGTGACATTTTAAGGGCAAGTAATACTATACAAACATATGGCTTACCAAGTTTCTGAAAGTATTTTTCAAAAATCAACGGTATGAAGAGACACAAGTTACCTCCAACTGGTGATTCATCATGGTTCACATCAGGAAAATCACTTGCCAGGAATGTAGGGTAGAAGGATGGTGCCAAATACAGTTTATCTGAAAAAATATCTGAAACGATTTGCCTCTTTCACCCATATCAGAGAGTTTTAAAGTGTCTGGAAAGGGGCTACTAGAAAAAGGAACAAAGGAGATTCTGTGTCCTTTCAGATGTGTATTAGCCTTATTGTACAGACAGGAAGAGGCTGTGCTCTTCTTTGGAAACGAATAGACTTGACTTTGCCACTGTGCGTAGGATCTATGTATTTGCAAAGTGTACCTTACATTCATTTTGATTTTTTTTGCTCCTGTGACTCTTTAGAGGTGTAACGGGATGTCCAACCCCCGGGGTGTCTGTATTAAGGTGTGCTCGGGTAATGTGCTTTGTAGAGACCACACCTGTGTGCTCTCAATTGCTTCTCACCATCCATTTTCAGAGAGGCTCCTGCTTAATCCTTGCTCCTGAAAGGAAGGCACACAAAAAAGTGATCTTTCTGGTCACCAGGCAAGGGACAGGCAGTAAGCACCTCAAGGAGAAAGAATGCTGGGAAACCACCAACAGCGCCAACGAAAATGGAATTAGGCACGGTGCACTATCGCTGAGCCTCGCGTTCATTTCCTAAGTGCTTGGCGCTCATTGCTTCATTTCGTTCCTTTAAAGATCACTTGAGATAATGTTATACCCATTATAGGATGAGGAAAATGAAGCACAAAAGGGTGAGTGGTTTGCCCCAGAGTGATAGAGCTGTTCATGGAAGCGTCCAAACTTCAGGTCTCTCCTTGAAGGTAGGGACCTGGTTTGCTATTATATCACCAGAACCTAAAAGAGTGCTTGTAACATAGTGGGCACTGAGAAAGCATGTTTTTAATAAAAGAACAAATCTATGAATGCATTTTCTGAAAGAGATGGAATCTGTGAGAGACAGAGAGAGAAGGAGGGAGGGATAAGAGAGGGAGAGAACAGGCGAGAGGTGAATGGATACAAAGAGACCCACACAGGAGGAGACTCTGCTGCTAAGTTCCTTGCTTTACAAGTTAGCTTGTGGCCCAGCAACTCTGTTTATCAAGGAGGAATTTATTTGCAAAAAGAGAACAAGGACTAAATCCGATTTAGTTTTCCCCTTGAGGGAGGCAAGCTGTCAGAAAGCTTCAGAGGGATACACACTCAAGGTTCTTAAGCTGGATTATTCCACAAGGGAAAGGAACGTTCCAACCTTTTAGTTCTTAAGGTAGTTTCATCCTCAGAATTAAGACACTGAGTGACAGCAGCTACAGGCACAAGGAGTCAGTCCTGACCTGGCTCCACATTCATGTTTCCCCTTTGCTGGGCCATCCTGGCCTCCCTGCCCGCCTCCCTCCCTCTCTGGAGCTGTAGAATGAATAAGCAAAGCTGCTTATGCTTACTCTAGCCCAGCAAATTCTGACCAGTTTTTGGAGCAGAAGTCATTTTCTCAGATAGATCCTAGATCCACTCAATCATGAAGACACTTCTAATAAGAAACATTTTCTCATCACCCACAATGTAATGAGTATTCTTGTTCCCCAAACAAAAACATTCCTTCTGGCAGCTCCCCAATGATAGCAACCTACCCCTTTACTTTCAAGTTGATTTTAAATCATTTTGTAACTAAAGAATAGACTGTGACAGAAGGCCCAGATATTACAAAAGCCATGACCAAACAAAATACCTCGATCCCTCACATTTGCTCTCTAGGCCACAGCAAGGGATGTTTTTACTGAAATCACTCCTTGAAAGGTGTGGCCAGAAGTGCTCACTAAAATTTCACTCAAAATTCATTGACTTTTTCTCTTAGACTTTGCTATTCTTGCAAACAGCACGGTACCTCAGATTTCAGAATATGGGTATTCAATTCTCAATATGAAAAAACCCCCCACAAAAATTAGTTTTTTAACTGAGTTTCTACTATCCACCATCTAAATTCAGGCAAGGAAGAGGGAATCAACTGACATTTTTAAGCAAGTACTGGATAGGGAGATGCATTTCTGTCTCAAAAATGTGAGTCATTTGTATGTGGAACACCACTTGATCATCAAACACTGTATTTACAAAAAAAAAAAAATGGCATTGAAATGTAAATTACATTCCACAAAGTTTCAGAAAACTTTAAATGGACATCCTAAAATTCTAGCTGATGTTGCCCATAAAAAAAAGAATAATTCTACATTTTGTGGCCAAGGTCACTTAGCTAATGACACTTATTAAATACCTCATGTTCACAAATTTGTCAGTACTTGAGTCTTAAAGTTTTAAGAACCATAGATACTATAATAACCTATTTGGTCAAAGAGTGTCACCACAAGGACAATTAGCAGGACAAGGTTAGAGAAAAGCATAGCATTTTCTCAACCAACCAGGTACTTACTATTGGAGATGTTTTAGGAAATTCTCTGGATATCAGAGGTTTGGTATTTTTCTCATCAAAGGTTTATTAACTCATAGACTGTTAATAAGTCAAATATTTATAATTCAGAACATCAACAGACTTTAAGAGAGTTTTTCAACAAACCCTTTTAATACTACTTGGGCCAACCACTGGTGGCTCATGCCTATAATCCTAGCTACTCAGGAGGTAGAGATCAGGAGGATCACAGTTCAAAGTCAGCCTGGGCAAATAGTTCCTGAGAACTTATCTCAAAAAAACCTTTTACAAAAAAGGGCTGGTGGAGTGGCTTAAGGTGTAGGTCCTGAGTTCAAGCCCTAGTACTGCAAAAAAAAAAAAAAAAAAAAAGCTACTTGGGATAAAACTAAATAATAATCCAATTTTAACTTATATCTCTTCTGTGCTGGTAAATTGCAAAATTTGGTTGCAGCTTTCCAGAGGCCTTTATGACCTGTTTCTCTATTTTATATCCAAGAAAACCAACACCAATGGCAACCTTCCATAAATAGGGCACTAAGACACTACTGCTTTCTTTCTCATAGAAAGTAGGAAAGGTACAAAAAACATCTGTTCTTTCTCCTTGTTATAATCCTTCTAGTTACTTTATGGTATAAGGGAACAGTCCAAACTTTGCTTTCACACTGACAATGTAGCAAATCATTGTTTCCCCAAAAGGACTGTCCTCAAGAACTCTGAGGACAACCTGAGGCCTAAAACTAAAGATATCTAGATGTCCCTTGTGAACCATCATCCCAGGAGGGTATGTGTTTCAGACAGAAGGAATACCAGTTAGTCTTCTCGGGAGCTATGACTAACATCAAATGCTGGACTATAAATTAAAGCCCACAGTGAATTGTTCCATATTGCAGGGTCTGGAGCCAGATAGTCTGGGTTCAAACCTTGACTCATAGAGACTCAGAGTCTCTATGTACACTTTGGCAAGTTACTTAAAATCTCCATACATTGATCTCCCTGCTTATAAATTGAGTCTAGTATCTAAATCATAACATCATTTTAAGGATGAAATAAGTAAATAGAAGTAATACACTTACACTACTTCTTAGCAAATTATCAGCAATTTAAAAAGTTAGATATTATATAACACTCACCAATAACAACATCCCCATTATTATCAATCTTTAATTCTCAC